ATAAAAAATAAAATAAAGTCTTGCACTTTCTAATAACGCTATCATTTCTTTTTCCTCTGAAAGGAAACAGTTACATCAGCCCCAGAGGAACGGACCAGAATTTTCAAAGTGTCAAGTTTTCCCAAAAGTCTACGTGTGTTTACATACAGAAAATGAATTCCTGACATGTTTTTAAAATCATTTGGTGTGCTGTAATGAGTGGGGGGGTCTTAGGGTTGGGCTGAATCCCTGAGAGCAGTAACAACATTATTATTCGGGATGGGGCCGATCCAATCCAGTATCGGTATCGGCCTCCGATACCAGCATAATTTACGTATCGGATTTTCCGAGCCTCCTGCTGATATTTCCGATCCATGATGTATGTTGGCTTCAAACTATGGAATGGATTTCCTGAACGGCGGCGTGTCTCATGAACTCAGAGTAATAAGACCCGCCTCACATTCAGGAAATCCAGTTCATAGTTTGCAGCCAGCTACAACGTGAGGGCTGAGTTAGCAGCACTGTGGCTAACAGCTAACCAACTTTTCATCTAAACATGTCCGCCGTGTGGAAGTATTTTACACTTGAAACACACAAAATAAGACAGCAATGTGCAATGTCTGCAGAGCCATAGCTCCACATTAAACTGCGGTAAAGTTAGTTTTACGTTGGACATTCAAGCTCCATGGCTTCAGCGGGGCGCTGCTCTTTGCTCAAACCACAACAGGCGACTCGACCTCGGCCAGCCGCGTCCAATCTGCCCCGCTCAGTCTGCTCGTCTCTGAGGAGGGACATACTGAGCGCGGCTGCCCCAAATCAGGCTGCCTGCTTCGGATTGAACAAGAAGAAGACATCGCTGAAACCACGGAGCTCAAATGTTTACAGAGAAGCTGCTAAACTTCATCATGATTCATGACCAACCACTATCAGTTGTAGAAAACGAAGGATTTGACAGTTTGATACTTGCAGTCAAGATATAGATTAACCTGCAGGAGATATTTATCAGTACAACGGTAGACAATCATAAAAAAAAAAACATTATTTGAAAATTGTATATATTAGAAACAAAACGGCTACATTATAAAGTGATGTAAAATACTAAAAACAGGAACATGTCTGTTGGTTTGTGCCATGAACTTAGCAGGTGTTTGAAGCCATTTAACATTTTATTTTATTTTATTCATTTATTCATTCATATAAAAGAACCAATAAAAAAATCAAAAAGAAAACATTGAATGAATAGAGTGAAGAAAGAAGAAAAAATTCTTAGATCTGCCCCTTATTTAAAAAAATATAAAATAACTTTAAACAATCACTTAAATTAATCACTTTAATATCCACTTTAAAGCTAGGAATAAAAAAAACATGTTTTGTGTTAGCAGAATTTAATTCTAACTTTAAAACTTATCCAACATTAATACAACACCTCAAGTTGCCTTTTTGGACATGCATGCATTATTTGTACAAATTGTACTTGAGAGATTATTATTACAGCCTCATATAAAATCAATGATGATCATGATATCAGAACTGGATCGGTATCGGCCGATATTCAGAGTTAGGTATCGGGATCGGATCGGAAGTTAAAAAAAAAGTGGATCGGTGTATCCCTAATTATTATCAGACATTTTCTTGTGTTTTTTTGTGACAGATGTGTAATTACAGGAGTTAAAAGTGTGACAATTAGCCCCCATAATCGAACCACGAGGAAAGTTTAAAAAGACAGGATTACCCAGAACCCAGAAACAGTGAAGATTACAGGAAGAGGCAGATCCAGATGTGTCAACAATGCTCAGTGACTCCAGATAGTCAGAGCTCTGAAAATGATGGGGATATTGTGACTGATGCAGAAAAGTCTCACACCAGACATCATCATAAATCAAATGGACCAACAGATCTAATGTTGTGGACCAACTGGAGTTTGAATTGGGCTGAGGGGAGCAGCCCTGTGAAGATGAATCGCTCCAGCTGCAGCTCTCATGATGAACAGATGCTGGGTTCAGTCTGCAGGAGTCGCCTCACCTTCGTGAACACCGCTCGTGCCCTTGCCATGCCCGGGGTATAATCAGCTGCGAAGAATATGGATGATTCTTTGAAGCGGATCGAACTACGCTGCATGCTCGTTGTAATATCTCCATACAATCTTGAAAATAATGCAGCTTGGCCACGACAGCTTCTGATTTATCATCGGAGCCTCTCCTGCTCAGCGTCCAGTACATGGTCAATCAGCGCCTCTGTTAGCATCTTTGATATCACTGTAGGGGGTGCATGAGCCTGGCGATTCAGGAACTCCAGCAATCCTAATATTGTTCCATTTCATATTTCCTTCCATGGATTCAAGCCTTTTTCTCAGCCCATCCACTTAATTTTTCAATTGTACCATGGTCCCACACAAAACTTCTACCTCATTTGAGCTTAAAGACAGCCCATTTTCAGCCTTAGAAACACTTAGCTTGACTTGGTCAAACTCTGCTCAGAGGGTCGCGGTGTTTCCAGCAAGCTCTGCTCTCACAACTTGAAATTTGCTCCTAATAAAATTATAATCAACAATCCAAGCCGCCTTCATCTCCATCCTAATTTTTGTTGTGATTTCACATTTAATTGAAGCCAGAATGTCTGACTTCAGAGCCGACTCGACTGGCTCTCTGGAGCTCGGTGAGGGCAGGGCTGATGCACCAGCTGCACTTGCCATCTTGGCATTACTGCAGTTTAAGGCTGAAGCTGTGACAATGGGCCGCATGGGCAAAGACCTTGTCGTTTTAGATTTCTTTAACTTAGAGGCCATATTACAGCTCTGGTGAGTTAATCATGCGACACTGATCTCAGAGGCAGAATCCAATGGGGAGGCAGCGAGCATATAATTATAAAAGGCAATTATTTTTAGCGGGGCTGACGTGAGCCTGGCAAAATGCTGCTTACCGATCTGCGGCCATCTTGCGCTCCAGACAAACCAATTTTAAGAGAAAATCATGAGTCCTATCACTTTAATCACATTTGTTGGGTTTGAAACTTTCTACTGTATTTATGACCAATTTGGTCACTAAAAGTATATGTACAATAAAAACAGCATGACATGTAAAGATTCAGGCAAACTAGATCAAAATGGTTGACAGACTCATTGCAAAAAACGCAATTTATTTTCACATTTTATAGTTTCTTATGTTACATTTATCACATTTCAGTAAGACTGACACTCACGGAGAGAAGTTTTTGGAAAAATAAATAAAAGGTAAATGGAGACACACCTTTGCTATAATCTGGAGCAAACAAAAATTGTCTTTAGGTGTTAATCTTGTTAAATTTTGAAGAGCTGAAGCAGCGACTCCTCTCGTGAAAACACACAAACAGGCTGTGCGGGTATCCATGGCAGTTATCACTTTATAGCACAACCTGTTTCAAACACCACTGACCGAGAGCACTGACGTGTTATGTCAAGGTGCATCTGCAAAAAAACTAAGAGCTGCCAGCAGAGGAGGGGTGGCCCTGATGCAGCTGTAGCGGTGATAAATGCAGGGTCATGACTGAGCACTGGCCCTACATTAGACCAGCCCACCAGGAAACGTCCCGGTTCTCCCTGTCATTCCCTGATCTGTTACAGAAGCACGAACCATAGTGTACTTCCGGGTCTCACGGATCGCCGACGATCTTCATGTAGCTAATTTACGCCACTCGTATTTCCATTACAGATCATTGGATAAGATGATATGCGACGCTATTAGACCTGACCCCCAGCCTGGGCTGAATGAGAAAAACCCTCCAAGATACAGAATTACTTCCTTCCATGGTGAACCAGCGCCGCTCAGTGGTGAAGCTGCATATCATTTTAACCATGACGTAAATATGTCAATGATTTTAACAGAAATACGAGTGGCGTAAATTAGCAACATGAAAATCGGTGGAGATACAGCACATACATTTCTAAGTAAATTAAGACGGTTCTTATTCATAAACGGAATTATACCAGTACATTTTCCTTAATCTAGCATATTCAACGGCGATCCGTGCGATCTGGAAGTATTCCTTTTAGCGCACGCACTAATGATCTACACTATGCATCGGCTTCCGTAACAAATAGGGGAATGATGCTCCCGATTAGCCACTCTGGGCCTTGCTCAATTTGAAACAGGAGAGTGAGGAGTTTTAAGTATTAAACTGAATAAGAAACTTTGTTATGTAAGCTAGATCCACATGCAGATTAAAGTAACTCCTCTCCCACCGGAGGGTCGTTAGTTTTTCTTTTGTCAAACATGGCTTTAATGCAAATGTACAGATAACATAACCTTACAAACATGCTCTATAAAAGAATAAAATTAATTTATATTATTATACAGTATGTTTTACTTGTTTAAAAACTAGTTACAACAAGCTTTTCTCTTTGTCTGGTGTAGTTGTTTTTGTTTGACGTGTGTGAAAAGGGTTTGCTGGTTGGTAAAAAATAAATAAAATTCAAGCTTTTCTCAGAAGAAACACAAAATCGTATTTCAAAATTACTTAATTTTATATGTAAAATCCCACATAAAGAAACCTTGACACTGACATAAAGACAGGGCAATGTGTATCGCACAGTGGATGAATTGTCTGAGCTATTGCTTCACAGCAAGAAGATTGCAGTATCTATTTGCATGATCTCTTTTGCACATGCGCTCTTTCTCCGGGATTCTTCCCACATACCTAAATTTTGCATGTTAAGTTAATTGACCACCCTAAATTGGCAGTGAGGGCCTGAATGCTTGTTTGTCTCATTTGTCTTTATGTGCTCCTATGATGGACTTACAACCTGTCCAGGGTGTACGCTAACATTTGTGTGACTGCTGGAGATAAACACCAACTTCCACAAGACCCAAGGCAGAAACACAGATAAAGAAGATGAATGTATAGAGATGTGATTAGAGCTATAAAAAATAAAAAAAAATAAGAGAGTACTAAAACTATAGGTTGGTGCCTCAGAATAAGTAGAACCATGTATCCTTTTGGCAGTCCTTACACTGTATGTTAAAATCTACAAGGCGTTGGTGTTTGATTTAGGTCTTGACTTTGGTATACCGGCGCATTAGGTTTGGAGTAAACTTGGACTCTGTTGTAGATACTGGACTTGAAGCATTAGAGGGTGGTGGTTGTCTGCAATGAACCTGACAGTGACGAGGCAGGTTGGTGCATAAACGTCGAGGTTTGTCTGACTCCTTTAAAGTCCAAAGCTGTGAGCTGTTACCATGCTGCTCTAACTGGGAATTGAGAAGCTTTCGAGCGTACGTGATCTCTGGAGTGATGTACTTGAGGCAGATCCTCTTTGTCTCATTACTGATTTTTGATGGGAGATTGTAATTTGCTATTTTAACATTTTTACTGGGCTGCCAGGGGCGAAGATCCTTGTTTTTGATCGCAGAACCTGACAGAGGAACTGGTGTTTTCTCCCCAAAACATCTTTTCATTAGTCTCTCTTGGGCCAGTCGAAGAAGATACACCTCCTTCGCCACACAGTCTAGACCTAGAGCTGATAGTTTGACCCATAATGAGGCATTAAAGTAGTCATAAAGGTATGCATCTATTGAATTCCAGGTACGAATCTTTGCAGAGAGACTTGGTGGCAGAATTTTTTTGGAACTTTCTGTTCGCATGTTGAGCTTGACATATACAATATCATCCAAATCCCAAGAAAGGAGATGACGAAGAAGAACTAAAGATTCATCAAAATACTCAGAAATCATCACCAAGGAGAAAACTTTTTCCACCTCTGTCACAAAGGCCTGAGCATAAGTCATATCTGGCCGACTGTTGTTTCCACCCAAGTCAAAGGTCAAGGTGTTGCGTGCATACATAGAATCTGTCTCGTTTGGCCGGTAATATTGTAAGGGGTCTGCTAAGAAGGCCTCCAGAGAGTAATTTGGGGCCCTCCTGAGGCTTTTACTGTGACAGGTGTAGTAAGTGAACAAAGATTCAAACATGGAAGCTGGCTCTCTCAAGATCGTGATGTATATTGTATCATTTGGCATCAGGCGTTGCAGTGCAGTCTTATTGAAGCGCATGTGGCTCGTGATCATATTTGCTGGCAGTGTTTCCGGTTGAACAAACTTAGAGGAGAAGAATTGTGGGTAACAAAACTGAACAATACATCTTGGTTTAGGCATTGCCATTTTCAGGTTGTTGTTCTCAGTAAATCTAAACAGTATATTCTGCAATGTGCTGCTGGCTGTTTTGTGGGTCTTGAGGAAGACAATGTTGGTGTGCTTAGGCTTCATAGAGCGACCGGTCGGGCATCTAAGATGGAAGGCTTCCATGGTCCTTTGAATAGAAACAAAATATTTAGTTAGAAACGCCACGCCCACAAATGTATGTGTAATGATAATGTGTCTAAATCAAATACAATTTTAAATTGCTGAGCAGTAGTAGAGGTATAAGCTGATGTACAGAGGGCTTATAAATTTATTAAAAATGGTAATAAAGAAAGAAATTTAAACATATATTGGAAAAGACAAATCAATTTCTAGTTCTTCTAGCCAAAAATGTTTATGTGCTACATTTTCAACTAGGCAAGATTTGTTGTAAACGGGTGTTTGAATGTTTACAAAACCCTAAAATTTAAAATAAAAATTTGATTTAAATTTTAGTTAATGTTTTACACTATTGGTTACACACAGTGGTTACTTTGAGCCAGATCCTGCCGGAACAAGAGCCGGGAACTCTCTCATTTTGACCCGTTCTGTTCCGGCAACTCTTTGATAGGATCTGTCAACTCCGCCCCTAAAAGTCCAAAGTCATAGTGCATTTTTATTTTGATTATTTATTAAAAAATACAACGAGAGGAGACATTGTCTTTAGCCCGGCGGACCCAGTCCGTGGAGTGGATGTTCCAACCGCAGCATGCGCGAGGCACCAGCTAGATACCCCTTCAAGGAGCAGGAGAGGAGCCTCTGGGGGGGGGGGGGGGGTTGACAGATGGTCACATTTACACACGGAGGTTCTGTGTGGAGTCCTCTCCTCCTCCTCTCCAAATATTGTCCCTACTCAGCAGGGCTGCACACTGAAAGACGCCCCCTCTCCCCTCCTCTCAGACCCCCGAGACAGAAACGACAATTTTTTCAACAGAATAAATAAATGCCCTGTGGACAGTGCACAATTTGCACAGAAACACACATGCGCAGTCAACAGTTCAGACATTATTACATCCAAATCAACAACTATTGATGCATGTAAACAAAACAAAGTGAACGTTCACTTTAACATTCGCATTTTGAAGGTGTATTTCAGTTACTCACCAGTTACAGTAGTTCAAATTGTGCAGCAAAAATCTGACGGTACAGATGACCAGGAGACCCAGAAATATCTCTTTCCGAAACGTCTTCAGAAATGACAGACACCTCATTTTAACTGTGAAAGGTGGAAAACTGTGAGTGAGAACACAAAGTAATTAAAAGGCAAAGGAAGAAAGTGGCAAAAAATAGAATAATTCTTGCTGAAGTTTAAAATGCATCAATGCAGATACTGGCCAAATCTCCAACACGCACATCAGATTTACTTTGTAGAGACCAATAGTAATTTGGTGTCTCATTTTATAATAATCTAGGTCATGACAGAAACAGGGTCTTTTGTGACAGTATTTTAAATGTTTTTAAATTCCAAATCAAACCCCTTCTGGTTAGTTTTTGATGTCAGGATCAGTGTTTCAGGATTCCTGGCCCCTGCTTACCTTCCCCGCTGAGACGCTCCAGACAGATACAAAGGAAAGTTAAATCTTGGGTGAAGAACAGTGACTCCATACTGAAATACTTTTTTGCATGCACGGTCTGGCAGGTCTTCAGAGAAGCTGCTGTAAATGAAGAGGAGCTAGACCTGGAGGAATGCACATCCTCAGTCCTGGTGTACATTAGCAAATGTGCTGATGATGTCACCACCATCAGATATGTTAAGAGCTAACCGAACAGGAAGCCTTGGCTGAATGCAGAGGTTTGCACCCTGCTGGAAGCCATGGACACTGTCTTCAGGTCTGGCAACTCACAGGAGCTGAGAAGAACAAGGAAAGAGCTGGTTGCTGGTATTAAGAGGGCCAAGGTCACATACGCACAGAGGATCCAGAGTCAATTCACCTCACAAGACCCACTGAGCATGGAGAGGGGCATTAAATATATAACATATTATAAAGACAGAGGTGCACAATGTCCTAGAGACTCCTCACTGCCTGATGCCCTCATCAAGTTCTACACATGCTTTGAAGACCTGAACAGACCACCCAGCACCAGACTCACCTCACCACCAGAAGAAGATCCTGATGCATGCTCAATAATCCAGGTAGAAAAATCTAAAAAGTTAAATCTGGTCCTCTGGACATTAAA